TTAACATCAATTTTGGTTCCTGCACTGGTTTGAACCTTGCACATTCTATCCACTCCCCGTTGCTATGTCTGCCGACACACAATACTCAAAGATCTGATGTATCCTCTTATTTTCGATGTTACCCGACCCAATCAGATATCACTGGGATCAGGTACAAACCACTTATAATCGACAGGGTGGATGTCATTTACACTATCTCATCGCTCACGGAAGTACGAGTAATTACGCCTTATGTTATGGATGTTGTGGCTGAATGTGTACCGTACTAAACTACGTAGTACTACCGTATAATCTATGTCCTTTTAGGTGGGTGATATTTCACAACCACACGACGTTTGAGCTCTTGGAAAAATATTACTACCTTTTAGGAATACAAAATCTTAATACAAGCACATCACACATGGACACCCGATTCATATAGAGGTTTATCTATTTATTAGGCCCCGTCTGGATACCACTTTTATTGACAGAGATAATTTTGCAAAATATTCAAGAATCTCAGCGACTTCAATTTGGCGTGTCTGGATGCCATTTCTGGACCAAGTAATATTCCATAAATTTATCAGAAATATCGTGAAAATCACAAGAAATAATATTCTACTCATGTGTAGAATATTTTGACGATATTGACAGTGCGCGTTGAATTGACAGGACATTTCGGAATGAGAAAGGCGATCGTGATTGCCTTCCTACGTCGATGGTTCATCCGCCGCCGCCTGGCCAAGGAACTCTTCGCCAGAGAGATGGAGTACCACTACCTCGACTTCGTCCACAAGACACCAAAGAGGACGTCCATCCTCAGTGGTCCTCTCTGGGTGGACGAAGTTCTCTGCGGCTCTGCGCTATCCTCTGATTGGCTGTTCATTTCCAAACTTTCTTTTATTCTATGGCATCCAGACACACCACCCAAAATCATTCTTGGATCTTGAAACCCAAGAATTTCCTGCAATGTCGAAAAATGTTTTTTATTCACTGTCAATATTCCAATATCCCATACATAATATTGGTGGGTGGCATCCAGACGGGCAAATAGCACAGGTACCTCAAGTCTGACAGTTATAATTCTGACTTATCCCAATACAAGAACCAGGTACTTATTTTTAGAGAAGTTGAACACTATTGTCCATGTCATCAGTTGGATCAATCGTTTCGTCCACAGCAGATATCGACACAAGGTCAGACAGCATCTCCGGAGACACAAACTCTTCCTCGCTTTCGACGGCTTCTGTGACCTGAGAGACCAGCTTGCACTTTCCGAAGCCATTCATAATAATAGACTCTGGCAACCCAGTCCACGAGTCAGTAATCCATCGTACCAGTGTAAGAGTAGGAGTTTATATTAATTATAAGGAGAGTGTAGCCGCGCGAAATGTAAACCTGTTGAACTTGTTGTTGGGGCAAGCCTCAAAAATATAAATATATACAGGAACCTACACTGCGCGCCACATGATTAGACCCACACATATTTTCGTTCTTCCTTTTTGACCAATAAACGATTGAGCTGTTCCAAACATCGCAAATCGATGAGTTTGATTGGTGGATGGCACTGACATGCGATTTGCCGCCCATCGTGCACCAGTTTGAACAATCTGGCCGACCGGTTTCAAAAACTCGCACCACTAGAATAGACCCATTCGGAAAATTTTGCTTTGGAAGTAAATTCAACCACACTCACGACCTCCTATCCTCACCAATACTATGTTGAACCTTAACAGCTCCACCTGTTTGCCGCAATGGGCCTGGGATCTCTCTTGAGTTCCATGGAGCAGGGCATGGTCTTGGCTCTCCGACGGCACGGATTGAGCATCCGAGCCATAGCTGTCGAGATTTCTCGATCAACAAAGGCCGTCCGCACTTTTCTGAAAGACCGGAGCAGTATGGAACAAGGTTTAAAGGAAGAAAGGCAGGCCATATCATCGGACGGGAGTACCGTTTGCTTGATCGTGAGGCATCCAAGACAGGCTTATCAGCTCGAAGCCTTAAGACTAGTCTCAATTTGGATGCCTCTCTTCGAACATGCCAACGGCGTCTCCTCCAAGCCCCCAACCTCAGCTATGTGAAGCGAAAACCCATGCCAGCCCTCACGAAACGCCACAAGAAGGCCTGTATCGAGCACGCCAAGAAGCATCTTGCTGCTCCTCCAGACTGGGGTCGAATTATTTGGTCGGACGAAAAGCGCTTCAACCTTGATGGTCCTGGCGGCCTTCAACATTACTGGCACGACCTTCGAATGGAGCCAGACACGTTTTTCACTCGTCGGAATGGTGGGGGTGGGGTCATGGTTTGGGGTGCTTTTTCTTCTGCTGGTTTGTCTAAGTTGGCATTTCTTTCTGGCAATCAAAACTCTTCTGCATATGTTGAAACATTAAGCAATTACTTGTTTCCATTTGCCCATTGCCATTATGCTGATGATTTTGTGTTTATGCAAGATGGAGCTTCGATTTATACTTCAAAATCCACGAAAGAATTTTTGTCGGATGAAAAGGTTACTCTATTTGACCACCCCTCACTATCTCCTGACTTGAATCCAATCGAGAACCTGTGGGGGCTCC